CCAGGGGAAGTCACAAGTTACCCAGACATTTCAAAGGTATGTTATCATAGATGCAAAAAGACAGATAGGCTCAGTTAAGGTAAAAGTTGACCTTGTCAGTGAAGATACTGGCCTAGGGCGTAACTGCCCACCATAACTGCTTTTAGTCAAAGTTTAATTTCAGACCATCCCTTGTGGTTACTTTAGGTCTCCAAGTTTGCAAGACTGCCATGCAGGCCTCCCCTGAGCTTGTCAGGTCAGCATGTGGCCCCTTTCGTCCACACATCCCCCTTTTGGTCATAAATCAATCCAAAGGATGCATTGATGACCAACCTTTTGGTTGGATAATGGAGTCCCACGTTGCTAGGAAGGCTCATTCCTTGAGTTGCTAGGATGTCTCACTGTAAGCATGTCTTGCTGAACAGGTGGACCACTGGGGATGGGGCAAGACCATAACCTTAGATGGCATTTAAGGTCGGATTATTATTATTTAAAAAAGGGCAGGTAAATGGGAGGCAGTCCGGTCCTCTATGTCCTTGTTAAAAAGTAATCTGGATCATTTCCAATTTTTGAGCCACCATGATCTGAGTCTTTTTGCTGTTTGTCAAGTTTTGTTTTTCTGCATCTAGTATAACATTTACATATCAGGAACAAAAGTAACAATACCAAACCAACATTGATTAGGAACAGAAAATGTCTAATACTAGATGAGGAAAAAGTCTGAGGGTAACAAGCATCCCAGCTAACCGAAAAACCCTTTACATGCATCATCATAAATTTTTATTAAGCTAATTATATGTTTTCTTCCTTCATCCACTGTCACTTGTACCTTATGATACGTTCTGCCAGATGAATTAAGACTCTCTACTATTTCATTATCTAGAAGCTTTAATTTTTCTTTTGGCCAGTTAGTTTCCATAGAAATGACTTCATGGGGAGGATTAAGTTCAATTTCCCAATACATTGGCTTTTCAGTATCAATATTATCATAGGTTTTATGAACCTCAGGCAAAGTTATTCTGCCTATAATTTCAGTATTACACCATGTTCCAGTATTATTAAATGTAAACTTGGTGATATTATAGTAAAAATCGCGTAGTATAAGAGAAGAGTTTTTTGACCCTTCCCAGCAAAAATGCCCCTTTCCCCTATACCATATATTGTTATTTGTTGGGGTAGATACAATAGACCAGGACTGAGTGAATTCAGTGATCCATATGGATTGGGGGCATAACCATTCACCTTTCTGACTTTCACAATCAGACAGTGAAGTGGGTTCATATTGTTTATTATTTTAAATATGGCCCACCTACTTCCCAGTGGAAGAATTCTAGTATATTGAGGAAGGTCCCTATGCCGTCCGGTTGAACTACTGGGAATTTAAGCTTAGGATTTAACCAAGGCACCTGGGCTTTTAAAACACAACGTCATAGATCACATTTCCCATCCAACATTTTCCAAATTCCTGGGGAACCATATGAATCCCACAAGTGTCTGGCCTGGGCTTCTGCAGCCATTACAGTTGGCCATTGTTTCATAGCCACTTCAGATTCCGTTTGCATTAGCACATAGACCAGCCATGGGCAAACTACGGCCCGCGGGCCGGATCCGCCTGTTTGAAATGAATAAAACTAAAAAAAAAAGAAGAG